AGGAAGTGGAGGAAAGGTGTTAACAAGATGAAAGAGAAGACCGACTTCAGTGGAAATTAATTTAGCTCTGTGCATGGGACGGAAAACTCAGAAATGGAAATCTCAGAAATGTGAAGGCAGGTGAGGGGAGGCTGGTTTGAGAGTCAGACCCTAGAGACCCTGCCTCTCCAGGCGTCAGCCCTCTCCCACTGCCCTGGCCGCTCAGCGCAGCCCCCTGCAGCAGCTGTTTCTGACCCTCCCCAGGGCCACTCCCCAGTCATTCTATCTCCCCCTGAATTGTCACAGCCTCCACAACCACTTCTTCATCTTCAACTTTTAAAAGGCTCAAGAGGTCCTCATTCTAAGACAAACCTCCCCTGCCCTTTATCCATCTCCCTATAATAACCATCTTCTCTGTCTTTCTGCCCTCTGTACCCTGACACAATGGCCTTGGCCCCTAACTGGTGCCATCAAGTGAGATGTGATGCACAGTGTCCCTGAGTACAGCAGAATGAAGCCATGCTCGATGGCTCCTGTGCTGTCCTGACAATCACTGTCATGCCTGAGCCCGCAGCCTCTGTGTCAATACATCTCACCAAGGCCCTCCTCTTTTTGGCTGGCACTGTACTTACTTAGGCACTCTGGTGGCCTAGTGTTAAGGAACTGCACTGGTTACCCCAAGGGACACACTGAAATCCACCAGCTTCATCTCAGGAGACGATGGGGAATCCCCTCCCGTGTGATTTACTGCCCTGAAAGCCTATTGGAGGGCTGTTGTTATGTGCCACTGGGTCGGAACTGACTCACCGTTGACCCTCCACCGAGTTTTTAGAGGCAGTAAATCACATGAGAGGAGACTATGCATCTTTCTCCCTTGAGCATCTGGTGGATTTGAACCATGTGCTTGTGGATTGACAGCTCACCTCCTTACCATCAGGCTACCAGAGCTCCCTAACTAACAATTCATAAAGGACTAAATCCACTCTTGCTCAATGAATGCTCTTGTGACTTCCTCACTGCACCTCATTACTATAATAATTCTCCTCTACTTGCCCCTTCTCTTTAATCCACTGCAATCAAGTCAATGCTAACTCGTAGTGACCGTTCTCTATTAGGTTCCCAAAGCTGTAAATCTTTACAGATGGAGACTGCCCATCTTCCTCTCTCGAAAGCAGATAGTGGATTTGAACTACTGACCTTTCAGTTAGAAGCACAGCACATAATGTGCTTTGTCAGGAGAGCTCCATCTCCAGCTACGAAAATGGAAGTATTAGTCTCCAAGGTCCTCTCCTTGGTCTGCTTTTCATTCACTATCTTAATTGCCTCTCCACTCACCGGTTCCCCCCAAAAGCTGCATCTCTCTCCAGTTAGGTTATTCTCATGAATAAATGGTCTGTGGAGCCCACTCACCACTGGGACCACCCACCTCATTTGGGTCTCATATACCCTACCCCCACACCCTCTGGCACCCTCCATCTCAATGACCACATGACCATCTCTTCTCCATCCAGACACCTACTAGTCATCTTGGCTCCCTGTTGCAACACCTTCCCTACACATCTACCGCTTTAGTTCTCTTCATCCTTGTTGACACTACCTTTCCTAGACCCTTATCACTTCCCACATCTTCAGAAGGGCAGATGGCAGAGCCTGTGTTTACACAGTACTTTATATAAGGGGTCATAAAGCAGTCAGTAGTGATATCAGAGTACAAAGAAAGGAGAAGATGGAGATTACAGTGGACACAAGCCCCCTAACCCCCTCTTGTCTGGGGCCATAGTGGCCTCTTCCCCATCCCCCATTCACTGGCCAGTCACCAATTAATCTTCCTGGGACAGGATCTAAATGTCTGATCTTGTTTGAAACACTGCGATGGATCCCCATGTTTCCAAGTTCCTTAGAAGATTAGTGACCTCCATACACAGAGAGTTCTCTCACAAGACTCATGGTTCGAGGGAGCTCTGGTGGCCTAGTGGGTGAGGAGTTGTACTGCCAACCCAAAGGCAGATGGTTTGAATCCATCAGCTGTTTCAAAGAGAAGCACAAGACTCATGGTCCTATGCCATTGCCCAGGCCATTCCTTCTGCTTCAGGCACTCTTCTGCCCCTTCTTGACCCTTTAACCAATTGCCATTAAATTGGAGTCATGGAGCCACGGCTATGACCTCAACCGCATGGGTATCCGAGTAGAAATATGTTCTGTAGGGCATTTTCAATGGCTTTTTCCAAAGATCTCCAGCCTTCTCCTGAGGTGTCTCAAGGACTTGAACTTCCAATCTTGCAGTAAGCAGTCAAGTGTGTTAGCCCCTAAAGGAGCCTATGTAACATCTCACTCTCTACCACTCAGTTTTGACTCCTAGCAACCCTTCATCGGGTTTCTGAGGCTGTAAATCTTTAGAAAGGAGACTGTCCATCTTTCTCCTGAGAAGTATCTAGTGGATTTGAACTGCCAACCTTATGGTTAGTAGCTCAACAAGTTAGAGGGCTCCTTGTATAATATCTATCCCCTTATAACTTGCTTCATGTCAAAAAAGCTCTGGAAAGATTCAAACTCTCCTCCAACATTCTTTGGATTGACCTGACCTTTAACACAAATAATAATCATTACAAATCTCGTTTTCAAAGTGGATGCTCTGGTGGCCCCACCCATGGGGAACTGCACTGCTAACTCAGAGGAGGTACCTCTGGCAGTTGGAATGCACCAGCGGCTCTTCAGAAGAGGTGCAATCTTCTCTGGGCCAATTTACAGCCTCTGAAAACCCACTGGGAGGTCAGCTATGAGTCGGTGACGATTTGATGGCAAGAAGAGAAAGCCGAGCAGTGATTCACCTTTTGTACATGTAACTCTCTCATCCATCGCCAGAGAAACAGAATATTCACAAACCCTTTCCCACTGTCACCAATTCTACGTAAATTATTTCAGAAAACAGAAAAGATGGAATTCTCCCAGACTCATTCCATGAAGCAAACATATCCTTGATACCATAGAAAACCATAGGCTAATACCTCTCATGAACAAAGATGCAAAAATCCTGAATAAAATACTGGCCCACAGAATACAACCACACATCAAAGAAATAATTCACCATGACCAAGTGGGATTCATAACAGGTATGCAAGGATGGTTCAACAAAAGGAAAACAAACCCTTTCCCAGATCACTTGGTATCCTTCCCATGCTCAGCTGGGCCTTATACCTGTGGAAGGCTCCCATCCCCTTCACAAATGCTCTGCATTCCCTCTACCCCTCTCCCTCTGCTTCTTCTCTCCCAGCTGCAGGTATGCTCTGGCTTCCACCTGCTTCAGGGCACACAGAATCCAGAGAACTACTGAAGCCCCAGAAAGTGGCAGCAACTTGATGGATGCCACACAGCAATTTTGTGGGCGTGACAGTCCAGACTCTGGGGCCCTAAAACCCAGCTCTCAGAATTCCCAGGCCAGCCCTCTGCAATTCCATGGCCTGTGATCCTCTGTCCCAAACCCCACACATAATTAGAAGTTATAATCCTGTAATTCCATGATGATGTATCTTTGAACTTAAATATACCTTCAAACTACCTTTTTTTTTTTAATACTGAATGTAGATTGACCAAAACAATTTCCCTTCCTAGGTCCCACCTGTTTCCAGATTCTTTTCCTGTCCATAGCTCCCACCGCTCCCTGTGGCCATCGCTCCTGGACAGTGAATAAAAACTCAAAGGCAAGTCACCAGGGTGGAGAAGATGCCAAAACCATTTGCCACCTGAGCCGTTTGTTAGCTGTGAACAATTAAGAATTGATTGCTCTGTGGGAAACAGTTTCACTTCCCTATTCATAATTACACTCTACCTTTGGTCATATCGGCTATAATAAAAACAATCCCTCAACCCACCCAGGTACTCTCGGCCAAGTGCCAACGCTATATTTAGACTCGCCAGGAACCCGCAAGGAAGAAGGCATAGAAGGTGTCACCCTGGCCTCCCAGCTCGCCACAGAAGTGTGGAGGCAGGGACAGACGAGGTTATCTGCCACTTGCCCCGAAACAAATCTGTAGGGGTGGCAGGCGAGCCTCCTCCCTAGGCCTCGTTGAGGGGAGGGGACATCCAAATTTATAGACTGTCGCTAGACGCTCGCTACCCTCACTATGCCTCTGGCTGGAGAAAGTATCCGATAAGCCAAGCCCCGCCGTCTTGCTGCCATTCCAGTCCCCTCGCCCCGCGGGCTAGAGTCACTTCTTAGAGAATGGGTGCCTACAGCGTCGTTTCCAGGGCAGAAGATGCTGCAATGTTCACCCAGAGTCACCTGGAACTGCCAAGCGCCCACAGAGCCTGCATTCGCCGCCCGTCCCGTCTCTCCGGCAACCAGTTAAATCCGCTTTAATTAAGACTGAGGCTCCACGTCCGCGGTGCTCCAGCCCTCCCGGACGACCAGGAGCGGGGTACGCCCAAGGATCCCCTCCCACCAGCCCCTCTCCCCATCCCACTCCCGATGCAGAAACTGGAAACGTTAAGGAGGGAAAATGAGAACGCTGACCCGCCTGGGGTCTTTCTTTCTCTACCCACGCGCCCAGTATCCCGCCAGGCTGAGAGCTCGAGTGCAGCTAGGAAGCGCGCCCTCCCTGTGCCACCATGAGACTAGGAGACCCCCGCGCACCGCCCTCCATGAGCCGCGGAGAGCCCCGCGCGCCGCCCTCCATGAGCCGCGCAGACCCCGCGCACCGCCCTCCATGAGCCGCGCAGACCCCGCGCACCGCCCTGCCCGAGCCGCGGCGACTCCTCGCCAGCACCTGCGCACGCGACCCCGCGCACACTCTGCCTAGGACTGCACCTGGGCGCGCGCTCCGTGCGCCCCACCTGTCCGCGGCCGCGCAGAGCAACCCTTCCCGTCCCGTCCCTCAATCCTGACCCTTCCGCACCAGGCCAGGGCGTCCCCCTCCCCCTTCCCGGCCGGGCCCACCGCCGCGCGCCCCCGCAGCGCTCTCCTCATCTTCGCAGGAAGGAGGTCCAGAGCTCGAAGACTCGCGAGCCTGCCCTAAGTGACCAACCTTCCGAAAATAGCCATCGCGTTCCTTCTCCAGGGGCTGGGGGGCTGTGGGCAGCAGTGTATCGGTCATGCTGGCGGCGCGGGAGCGCAGAGAGAACTGACGATCCGCAGCCGCCGCGTCCTCAGAGGGCTCCCGGGTCCGCCCCCGCCCCGGCCACGCCCTCTCCCGTACCGCCCCTGGCCTAGCCCCCAGAATCCCGGCCACCCCTGGCCACGCCCCCGATTCAATCAGCCCTGCCCTCTTCGCAGCTCTGGGCCAGTGGCCACGCCCCGATCCCTACTCGGCCCGGCCCCGCCCCTCCATGCATCCTCAGGCCCAACCTTCAGAGACCCAAGCTCCACCCCTGCCGTGGCCCCGCCCCTGTACCGGGCATCACCCCACCACGCCCCTTCCACAGCAGCCTCAGGCCAAAGCCGCACAGTCCCAAGTTCTTCCCGGCTCTAAGGCCACGCCACGCCCCCTCAGCACCGTCCGGGGTCCCAGATCCCCGCCCCGCTGTGACCACAATCCTCGTCCGTCTCTGCCTGTGGGATTGGTCAGGGCGAAACCAACGCCGCAGGTCAGGGTTTCTCAAGCGTGAGAGCTGGGGGCCCCTGGCGTGTCGCTCGCCAACTCCGAGCCTCGGGGTCTCAATCAGGTTGAGCTTGCTGCCTCCACCTACCTAGTAAACCTTCTCCCGGATGGCACAGCGAACGGCGTGAGAACACAAAGCGCGAGTCCCACCCCTCGCCTGAAGGCTCCGAGCCCCTGCAAGGACGCAGGTGGGATCTGGGCCCCTCCCTCCCGGAAGAGTTGCGGACCTTGTGGGGACAGCAACCAGCTGCACGCCACCGCCAGCACATGAGGACAGTGTTGGACCCTGGGCCGGACCAGGAAGAGGCAGAGGACGAGTCGAGGACGCCTAGGAAGTTTGCTGGGTTACCATTTCACGTGTCAGGTGCCCACCTCTCCAAACCTTCGTTTTCTCAACTGCCAAGTGCGCCCAACCACACATCCTTCGAGTGGTCAATGCGATTTGGACTAAAATGCGTGTTACAGCGCATAGCTGAAGAATAGGAACGCACTTTGCATAGGCGCAAAAGGCACTCCTGCAGACACTGGGAACCTCCTTCCTTTCTTCCCCAACACCTTATCCTTAGCTGAAGATTTCCTCAGCGCATGCGTAACAAAAAGCAGCGCCAGAACCCCAACCCGTACGGCCTCACCCCTGCGACCACCTCCTACCAATCTCCCACCCCCCCATCCCCACAAAGGGAAACTTATGCACCTTTAAGTTCAGGTCATAGATAGAACAAAACACAATTTAAAACAAAACAAGCATTTTTCTTTAAAAGAAGGGGACTACATAAGGCGTTGTTTGAAATTTAGGACATAGTGCCAACAATCAAGGACTAAACACCAAGAAATTGTCAAAAATCCACCTGTTCACTGCAGACACAAGCTTTTCCGTGGAACCCAGAGACACAAGAAAAACATTCTTCAGAAAGGTTGTGGGTTTTTACTAATTCTAAGAACCTGCAGAGACTTAACTGCTGGAAATTTCTTTGGCAGATACAAAATTCACTTCACTCTAAGGATCAGAAACTAGTTCTAATTTTAACAAACATCTATCCTCCTCGTTGTTTTTATGTACCATAGAGTCACCTGCGACTCAAAGCGACATTAGCTCTGAACCTTGCCCTAGCCAAGCCAATCTCATTGTCTCCGACAGGCCTAATCCCCTTTCTCCAGTCACTGAGTCAATCCATCTCGTCTAGGCTCTTCCTCTCCTGAGCTGTCCCTCCACCCTTACACGCATGATGTCCTTCTCCAAGGACTGGTCCGTCCTGGTCACGTGCCCAAAGTTTGTGAAAGGGAGCTTCAAAATCTTTGCTTCCAAAGAGCAACCTGGTTCTATCCTCTCCAGAACAGACCTGTTTGTTCTCCTGGCAGTCCACAGTATGTTCAACACTCTTCTCTAGCACCGTAATACAAAAGCATCAATCTTGCTCTATTAATGAAAAATTTTTTGGTGATTGTAATTATTACAGATACAAACTAACTCACCATTCCTTGATCTGGTTGATTTGAGTCATTAGAGAGACTGTTAGCAGTTCAGTTCTCTAGGGATTATGCCACCATGACTCGTTTCTGCTAACAGGAAGGGTTAGATATAGATAGAAATTCTAGATATAATTAACAAATAATTTCCATTGGCAAATGAGAAAGGAGGTCCAGAGAAGTTACGTGGTCAAGGGCACACTTAGAAGCAGCTAAGCTGAGTATCATCTCAGCCTTGTTAACTCCGGATCTATCATTCTTTGCTGCAATTCCAAAAGTTCGAGTTTTAATCCACCAGGTGCTCTGCGGGAGAAGGATGAGCAGTCTCCTCCCATGAGATGAATTGCCTCTGAAAACTCGCTGGAGGGTCAGCAATGGGTTGGTTCCGATGGTACACAACAATAGGTAGGTAGGTAGATGGATGGATGGATAGATAGATAGATAGATAGATAGATAGATAGATAGATAGATGTGACTTTGTTATTAAGATATTTTCCTTTAAATGAATGTTATTTAAACCAATTTTATTTTAAAATTAAACTATTGTGTCATAAATAGAAAACTAGTGATACTTTGCCCTAAGATGAGATATGAATGAAATGACAAGCAGAGTCAACACTGTCAGGTGTCGCTTTAACAGTGGATTATCTAATGTTTAATTTAAAGTTCATTATCTAATAAAAGAATAACTAAATAAATAAATAACTGTGAACTTCATCAGCACACTACCAAAAGGATGAAAAGACAAGCCATCAACTGGGGAAATATCTTTGAAAACCACATATCTGACAAGAATCTATTAACCAAAACATAGATAGGAAAGACTTTGGCATGTTAACAACAAAAATCATTAAATGGGCAAAGGACGTGAGTAGGTATTTCCCCAAAGAAGACATCCAAATGGCCACCAAACACATGAAAAAATTCTCAGTCTCATTAGCCATCAAACCAAAAGTGAGTGAGAAACCATTTTGCTCTCACTAGGGTGTCTGTCTTTGAGAGGGTGAAACCAAATTTTTCCCTGGAAGCTAGGATTTTGATGTTTCATCTAACATACATTGGGCACACTGCCAGGAGGGATCAGTCCTTGGAGAAAGACATGCTTGGAATGGTGGAGAAACAGCACAGGAGAGGAAGACGCTGGATGAGATGGATTGATTTTGTAACTGGGGCAATGGGAGTATGTGTGTTGGAGTCAATGAGACTGGCTCAGGACAGGGCAGGTTTCAGAAATGTTGTACATAGAATCGTTATGAGTCGCAGGTGACTCGATAGCACATAAAAACAGACCATCTAAAAAAAAAATAAAAACATAAAAAAAACCAGACCATCTAATATTTTTAAAACAATAAAATTTTAAAATTATAAACATTGCAGAGAATTTATAATCCTTATACTCTGGTGGTCTAGTGTTAAAAAGATGTCCTGCCACACCAAACCAGTTGGTTCGAACCCACCAACTGCTCTGTGAGAGGAAATGGGAAGTCCTATATACTGCCTCTGAAAAACCACTGAGGGTTAGCTATGAGTAGGTTTAAACGTGATAGTACGTAACAACAATAACAGTTGATATTTCAGCTTGCAGGGTCCATGTATATAGTGATCATATTCTTTGCTAATAATGGGAACGTAAAAGTCTGCATAGAAAGCAGGGTGGCAGGTTCTCAATAAACCTAAAAATAGAACTGTCACATGACTCATCAATCCTCCTCCTAGCTATATACCCAAAAGACTTGGAATAGTGATTAACCAAAAGGTGGAAACCATTTAAATACTCACCTAGTTGTTGTTGTTATGTGCCGTCAAGTTGCTTGCGACTCATAGCGACCCTATGTACAACAGCTGTAAACTCTGCTCTGTCCTGTGCCAATCTCATTGTCTCCAACACACTCATCCGAATTGCCCTAGTCACTGAATCAGTCCACCTCCCAGAGGGCCTTCCCCTCCTGCGCCTGCCCTCCACCCTCCCAAGCATGATGTCCTCCAAGGACCAATCCCTCCTTATAACATGACCAAAGTATGTCAGACAAAGTCTCAGAATCCTTGCCTCCAAGGAGCAGCCTGGTTTAACCCTCTCCAGGATGAATCTGTTTGTTTTCTTAGCAGTCCATGGTATCCTTAGCACTCTTCTCCAACACCAAAGCTCGAAACCATCAATTCTCCTCCTATCCTCCCTGGTCATTGTCCAGCTCTCTGACGCATAACAAGTGATTGCAAAGACCATGGCCTGTACCAGACACATCTTAGTCTCCAGAGACACACCGGTGCTCTTGAGTACTTTAGAGAGGTCCCTAACAGCAGACTTTCCCATTGCAATATATCTTTTAATTTCCTGGCTGCTGGTGCCAAGAATGTTGATTGTGGAGCCAAGCAGACTAAAGCTGTGAACAATGTCAATCTCGCCACCATCCATCCTGATGCTGCCAATTGGTCCAGAGGTGAGAATCTTTGTCTTCTTGACATTGAGGCTAGAGAAGAAAGAAAAATTCATTCACATGGATCTCACCTGATGGTGTGCATAGCAATCAAATGGATTACATTTGTGGAAAGACTCGCTGGAGAAGCTCAATATCAGCAGTGAAAACCAGGCCGGGTGCTGATTGTGGGACAGACCACCAACTACTCATATGTAAGTTCAAGCTGAAGTTGAGGAAAATTAAATCAAGTCCACGGGAACCAAAGTTTGACCTTAAGCCTGTCCCACTCAAATTTCAAAACCATCTCAGGAACAGGTTTGAGGCCTTGAGCACCAATGAGCATAGACCAAACGAGCTCTGGGAGGATATCAAGAAAATCGTCCATGAAGAATGCAAAAGATCATTACAAAGGCTGAAGAAGAAGAAAAGATCAAGCTGGATGTCAGATAAGACTCTGAGTATTGCATTAGAGCACCGAGAAATCAAAGCTAAGGGAAGAAACCAAGAAATCAAAGAGCAGAACAGAAAATGACAAAAGGCAGCTCGGGACGACAAAGCAAGACACTATAATGAAATGTGCAGAGAGCTGGAGTCAAATAATCAAAAGGGCTG